CAGCATAAAACCTCCTACATTTCACTTCACTGTCAACACGATTCATTTGCCGGTCGGTCGGATGCCGCCAAGAGGCAGACCGACCGTTCAGATCGTTCGTTCATTTGGTTCCCATTCGAATGGGATTTTCACTTTTCATATGCCAAAAATCCCTGGCCGCGACCTGATGAACTTTTTCCGAGCTGGAAAAAACGGCAAAGACAACGAAAACTGATATGGGTCAGGTACAAAATCATTCCATTATTTGAATGTCCGACATGGGCTACCGTTGCCTGGACTCGAGGTTCGGAATCCTGGTCTCTATGCCCCTTGTTATTTAACCATTCCGCTGTCGTCGTCGGATGTCAATGTTGGCTGTCAGTTTTGCGCTGCCGCCTGACAGGCCAACAAGCCAAAGAAACCCAGCTAACTGGACATCAGATGATCTCGGGAACATCACCTACATCGCTCACTGGCCACTGACCACCAATCCGCAGACTGTGCCAATTTCCAGCGGCCAGGCGGCCACCACACACTCCATTAATCACGGCCCGCCGAATTGGACAATGGCTTGAGAGTGGAGTGGAGTGGAGATCTTCGCAAATCATAACCGCAGAGTTTTTCCAACGTACTGACACATTTTCGTGCGGTAATTACGGTAGGGAAGTGGCTATAAATTAACCTTAATTGAATGCATTTGACAGAGTATTTTGCTGGTGGGAGAACTGAAGCAGAGCAGACTCTAATAAGGCAAATTAGAGCCAGAGTTCGGCCCTTTTTGGCCATTATCGTTAGCCCATTTCTAGCCTAGCTTCTGTGGCTTTTGTTTATCCGACCAGAAAGTGAATCTGCTCGACCTAAAGTTCACTTTCCATTGCCAGTTGCCAATTCAAGGGTCGTCGGCGGCTTCTTTGTAGAAGCCTGCACAAATTACTTCGATTTAATAACAACCAACGCCGACCGACCATTTCAATTTTTAGTAGGTGTTTATGGCGAGTCGTGACAAAATGGTTTGACCTCCACTGGAACACGAACCACGGGCGCAGCCTTTGACATTTGAGTCAAGTGGATTAACAGAGAGAAGAAACAGACTCTTGTTTTGGGGCTGGGTCAGCGAAAGCCTGCCGATCGGGGCAATCAATCGATTGGCAAGCAGCTCCTTATGAGCGGAGCATCCTAGTCATCCTCTTGTCACTTTCTTTTTCAATCACAGGATGGAATTCGACAGCGGAATTCATAGAGAAGCCAGCCAGCCAGCCAGCCAGTCAGCTAGCAACGTATGCTAATTTCGTTAGAAAGCAAGTACACATGGCGCATATCTAATTGTCCCCCGCCCCCAACTTCAGCGAAAGAAGAAGATCCCCGAACAAGTGAAACTGCCCAAATATGGCAACCGCAACTGCATAAACTGCAAGTCAAATGCGAGTCGAGTCACTTTGATGTGGAGAGCGGGTATCGACCATAAAGCACGCAAATGTGTTGGACCTGGCCAGCCGCCTTTGTTGGCCAATTGCCCATATATAAATACTCGGGCCGAATCTGCAGCATAAATTTGTGTAAATCTTATTCGCCGACTTTTGTGGGCCAACCGCTTAGGAGAAATGGCCTCCAATTGTGCCCGCTTTTAAGCAAATTAGTTACATATATGACTATGACTATGACTATGACAACGACTATGACTATGACTGTTCTTCTTCCAGGCAGATCTCCAAGTGGAGCAAGACTTGGCCACTAGCCACTGACCACTGGCCACCTTTCACTACTTTTCAAATGTCGCGCCATTGTTGCTTGTGCGGCATTGTTTGATAAAAGTGAAGATAGCACTGGGATTGAGAGAAAACATTTGGAGACACGGTGTAAACAGCATTTATATCTCCGCCTGATCTAGTTTGAGCAATCGGACAGCCGGCAAATAAACAGCGGCGATCCTAATCGAGGACAGCAGACCCCCAGGCCAAACTGACCCATTGTCCCTGCCGCCTGACCATTCAATTGGTGGAACAGGTGGACTCAGGTCGACTGGAGGAGTCACTGGGAGAAAATGTTGGGGCTACTGCTACACCCTACGTAGACGAAATATTCCAATATTAAAATATTATGGTTGCACCCGATAAAGCCGAAATGTTCCTCTTTACAAACGAATCTAATATCAATTAATATTACAAATATTGAGAAGTATAATGAAGAACTTAAAACTACATTTAACTAAAAATTTTCTTAAAACGTCACTAATGTAACCCCTCACCTTGTTTTTCAAAACTGGCTTTGTAGAAAATTTCACACCTTTAAAAAATTTACAAATATGGCTTTGCAGAAAAGAGATCTAAACCAGCACTTTAAAGTCCATAGGTTTTCTTACAGAATTCCGATTTTGAAGAAGTTTTTAGTTTAAATGTATACAATTCCGCTTGTAATTTGGTTAGATTATCTTTAAATTTTTCCATTTTTTCAAAAATGGCTATATAGAATAGAAGACAAAAATCCAGCACTTCTAAGTCCATAACTTTTCTTACAGAAATCCTATTCTGAAAAGTTTGAAAATCTGTGTTTTATAGATTTGGGTCGATTTTCTTGGAACTTTTCTGATATAAGTCCTAACCCTTTTTTTTCCAAAAATGGTTTTGCAGAAAGTTGACATAAAACCGGTATATCTAACTCCATAACTTTTCTTACTCTAAAACTTTCTTGCTTACATTATTAAGAACCTGCGCTTAAATATCGGTTTTAATGTTCGAAAAATGTCTATAAATTGTCTATGTTTTTTTTTAAACAGAACTTATATATCATAAATATGAGGTCATAAACTATTTCTAAGAAATCCGATTTTGAAAAGGCACACCTCTTAAAGTTTGTGGTTTGAATTGGTTTTTTGCAACCTTAAGGTCATCAGAGCCAAAACCGTTAGAGCTCGGGGGAAAAAACACCCAAATTACAACTACACGAGCTTCGTAAATTATTATGAATCCACTGGAATTGGCAACAAGCTTTTACAGCTCAACCCATTGGCATCTTTGATTGGGGCAGCGGTGTTCCACACGCATTTCCCAATCCAGATTCCCGATTCCCGGCTTCTTGTTAGCAGACGATTATCGCCGCTGCTTTGAAAGCCACAATCATAACCGGGCCTAATTAATACGTGTGCCCTGGGCTACTCACACCCAGAAACACACCCCCAGATACGGATACATTGTAGGCCATACCATATGCTAATTAGACGTACTCGCCGCCACTTAGCAGCTGGAGATACGTATCTCATTCGGCTAATTGCTGGTCACTGGCCACATGCATTTTGTGGGTTAACAGGTGACGTGGCTCTGGGTCTTCAAACTAAAAGGCGGAAACCGAAACAGAATTTTCCCTATGACCGCCAGGTGCCACGCCCCCTTTGAGAGAGCGGTATTTTGAAGAACAAACGAATAATTAGCATGAAGAAATGATTGCACTAATTGTTGCATGAGAAACACCCGAGAAGAGCAGGAAGTGTGGGAATGCAAGCGATCTTTCATTAGATGTCTCATTAATGGGGGAGCAGCAAGATTTTGGCTAATTTGGTCAGGCGGCTCCATAAATTATGCAATCTGAGTGAACAAACTGCATCCAGTGCCAGTGAGCTCTTTGAAGGCGCCGCCTGGGATTCTCACATTTGTCAACCGCGTTGCAGGAATTTCCAGCGGACAACCCATTCAAATGGTACAAAATGGTTCCTCGGGGATTAACTTGTGATGGAGGCGGCAGTGGACTTTCGACTACAGTTGCTGACCCGCCGTTTGTTAATAAATTTCTTAATTTTAGGGATTGGGTTTTCGCCTAATTCCTGTTTGTTTATGGTCCGCGCCAGGGAAACCACCATTTTCGTTTGCTGCCCCCCAGTTCCCGATTTGATTTGATCTATGAGCGTGTCCACAGTTGCCACTTGCCGGGCTGCCAGCACATAAATTCCCAATCTTTCATCGATTCTCCACGGCAGCAACAACTACAGCTGCCGAGGATCACAGATCGCTGATCAGGCTTTGGGAGATGCAAGTGGAAGTGGAAATGGAGCCGTGTTTCATTTGCACACCGAGCTGGCCATTTCACAGATTTATCATCTCTAACCTTTTTGTTGTTGCATCGTGCGGCAGAGAAAAAGGAAAACCAAATTTATTAATATGAGTGGTTGACTCTGAAAATATGAAACCAGTTGCAAGGCCAGAAATTTATGGATTCGCTGGGGCGGGAAAAAGCTTACGCACACTGCCGTTAGCCCAATTCACTTTTTTCCCCCGCTTAGGATCGGATCTCTGGGCGGAATTAAAGCCACAGCTGAAAGGCATGCCTAATTGGATAGATCTGAGATGTGGCAGAGGAACACGGATAAGTTGTTGACTTATCGCGTGCCAAGATGCCATCGCCATCAGTTTGGACTTGGAGTGGTTTAGAGGTTTAGAGATGGAGACCTGGGCCTGGGCCTGGGCAAATAAATAGCCCGCTGCCGGAGGCGGCGGCGGAGATCCTCTCCTCGGCATGCAAATGGCAATGGCGATCAAGATCGCGATGTTTGCGTGGCCTGTTATGAGTCAATCAGACGCCTGCCTACATTGTCACCATCACTTGGTTCGGATAGGATCGCTGGTTAGGTGGTTCGCTTGGTTTGGCTGCCTGCAGCGCTAGATGGGATACTAGATGGGCGCTGGAGATTGTCGCGATTGCATCATAAAATTTAACTGCCCTGCCAGCCAATTCCAGCTCCAGCAGCTTCCAGCTCCCAGCTCCGAGTCACAGTCATTGCATAAATTGGCAGCACTGAGGCTGCTTCTATCGATGGAGAAGCCTTGTGGATGTGTTTCTTAATGCCGCTTATAAGGCGCCGCTTAGGCAAAAAGGGGTTGGCTGGCACCAAATGGTGCTCCATTCAGCTGTCCACTTGGCCGAGATGTTTATGAGTTGACGAGGACAGGGAGCAGAGCCGACCCTACCGGTGGGTCCTTCTCTCATAATTCTCATAATTCCTATAATTCCCCCTTATGAACACACACTCTGCATATGCTTTAAGAATGGCTTTCACAATACACAGAAACACATGAAACGAGCCGCAGGGGTCAGTTGTTTTTGGGCTGCCAGAACTGCATGTCTGCAGAGACCTTTTTCACCAGAGGTGCTATTTGCTTGAAGGCTTTGTTGTCCTTGTCCTGCAGCAAGTTGAAGACCACACTCTCGGACGTGGCAATAGTGCAGCCCATCTGACGTAGTCGCTCCAAGGCCAAATCCCTGTCCTGATTGAGACGCGAGGCACAGCAGTCGGCCACCAGCCAGACATCTATCTTCTCATTTACCAGGTCAAAGGCCGTCTGCTCCACGCACACATGTGTCTAATTAAGAGAAAAAGGATTAGTTTTTACCAAGCCAATCTCTATACAAAAGTGTGGTTTACCTCCAATCCAAATAGGACCACCGTCTTGGGGTTGCCAGCAAAGATATCGGTCATATTCTTCCGCACAGCTTCCACCAGCATGGAGAACTTGGTCTTTGCCACATTGGCACAGGCGTGTCCGATATCCAACTCACAGACGGTCTTGCCCAGCTTCTCTGGATACTGCTCGGTGACCAGCAGGGGCACTTGGAAGACCTTGCCGGCAGCCAGCTGGAATGCGAATCCATTAGAAAAACCAACCGCCCATTATCCTGTCACTTTTCGCTGTCTCACCAGTTTGGCCGTGTTCTCGATGAGCGCACTCAGCAGCGGTATTGCCGGTTTGAACTTCTCCTGCACGTCGCATAGCATAAAGAGGGTTTTGGAGGGCACCAGGCGATAAAGAGTCTTACTCATTATTTGATCTATATATTTTAAAACGTGTATCTGAAATATCTCAAATCCAGCAGCAAAGGCTTGTTCAGTTTAATATTGGCGCTTGCCTGGCGTCATCTGGTGTTTGGTGGCGGTAGCTGCAAGTAAAAAGCTAGTACTAGCTATAAATAGCCAATAGCTAGAATTTAATTAAATACTAAAAAACAAGTATATATTTGGTATTTTGGAGCGAAAAAGCTGAAACCACACTACACTCATCGGAACCAAATTCGTAAATCAAAAATTAAAAATAAATCAAGTAATTGTGCGGAATAAAGGCAGGCACGCCGTCGATGCGATAACCGCCACCCCCGATTCCCAACCCCCGGAAGCTGTCAACTCACCTGGTTTCAGGTGTGTTCTTCGGTTTGTTGGTGAGGTTAACTTACGGCAACCACCAGTTGCTACCTTAAAAGCCTTAAATATGCTGATGATGGAGATGGACTGCCCCCCATATCACCCATTTCGAGTCTATGTCTATTCGATTCGGTGCACTCCATCATTCGGCCTGTTGGCACAGGACCAGCGGAAAAGTCGCTGTCACGGTGCGGCCCAACTAATTGCAGTCGCATTAATTAAGGCACACTCAAAATTTCCCAATAACCAACCCGGTCGACAGATAAGCAGCACGATTAATTTCTAGCCGAGTTACACTTGTCAACAAGAAATTCGACGCCCAAAAGTGTTTTTCAAGGGGAAAAGCAGCGGCGGCGGCAGCGGAATCGAAAGAGCTAAACAGCCCATTCTGTCAACTTGAATTAATCGTCGATGTCAATGTCGTAGTCAAAACACAGTGAAAAAAAAATCTCAAAAGTGCAAATATTAATATCCCTTTATATAAATTACATTTAAAATTAAGAAGATATTTAATTATCATTGTTGAATAAATTCAAAATAATCAGTGGTAATATATATAAATTTGATTGTGCTCATTCTTTATATAATTGAATCCATTTAATCATCAGCGATAATAATTATTTTCGAGATAATTTTTTAAATTTTTGCTCCCTTTTTTATACCTCCTCCTCTTCCAAAAGATCTTCTAATTTTGCATCTTACTTAATCGATCTTTATTAAATTTTTTTAGTTCATAGAGTGATTTCAATATTTTTAAAATGATTTTGAATTTGACTAAAACAAATAGAAGAACAGCGAGAATAACGAGTGATTTTTTTCTCTGTACTGCCTCCTCTTCCGGCGCCGTTCTCGCCACTTTCGCTCGTGGCTCGGTCGGCCCCAAAAAAAAACTCTTCTGACGCCGCAAAACCGCGAGTTGCTTAGTTGCCCACTGATCCGTTCGCCTGGCGGACGTCGCCAGAAAGCGTTGAAAGCTCCAAACACGAAGCCCCCGCGATTGCGTTTGATTAATAACTGATAAATTGCCAGCGATTCGCGGGCTGTGCTCCATTGGCAAGCGAAAGTGTGTCCCCGGAGTGCCCCCGAAATTAATTCAGCCATTAATTGCCACCTTCTTCGTTCCAGTTTTAGTTCTTAACTCCGGAAAGATGAGCTTGCAGTCGATTAAATACTCGCGAGGCAGCCTGGAGATTCTCGACCAGCTCCTTTTGCCCGGTCAATCCAAATACGTGGTAGTGCGAGGGGTCGAGGATGGCTGGAAGGTCATTAACAAGATGCAGGTGAGTGCCAATCGAGGACGTAGGCCTTAGGCTAGTGTTATTTTTACCACTAATAACCCATACCCAGAAGAATGCCATTAAGTGCCATTAAAATTCTTATTGGTACATTTCTTAATCTGCGCAATGATCGCTAGCTTGTCGGTTGTCGGTTGTCGCTTGTCGTCTGTCCCTTGCACGGCTATAAATAACGTAATTGAAATTAAAAATTTAAAAACGCTTGCCAAAAATAAAACTACTTCTTGCGCGTCACTCGTCGATCGGCTCTTACTGGGCTAATGCCCCCAGTTGGTGGTCCATTGCTCGACGATCATTGGGCTTTAAGCACGCGCCTTATCACGTGGAGCCCGCGGAATTGTACAATGTAAACTATTTATTCTATCAACCATTTTGTGCAACGTCACCTGATAAGCCTAAAAAGCCAGCCAACAACCTAATCTTTCTGCTCTCCGCTCTGGCTTTTCTATATAATTTGGTCATTATAATTGCCTGTGACATGAAAAAACTTTTCAATCTAAATGATTTTAAAATTTGTTTAGCCATCTTAATTGAGTGTGTTTAGAAAACATTTAAATGTCTTTAGCAATCAAGAAAATTCAGGATGGTTGGGTTGTTCAAACTGAAAATTTATAAAATTAAGATGACATTTTCATAATAAAACTAATTTCTGCTTAAATTATAGGTTCGTGGTGCTCCAGCCATCGCTATCGTGGGTTGTCTTTCGTTGGCCGTGGAAGTCAACCCCGAGGAGTTCGGGAGCAAAAAGTTGTTGCGTCAGGAGATCGAGGGCAAGTTGAACTACCTGGTTTCCGCCCGCCCCACAGCGGTCAACATGAAAATCGCCGCCGACGAACTGATCACCTTGGCCAACGAACTCGACAAGGACGAGACCATCGACGTTGCCGAAATGAAGCAAAGGTAATATAAGCCACATTGCCAAGCAAGTCAAACCAAACCCAAACAAGTTTCATTCAAGATTCCTGAGTGCCACCGAGGCGATGCTAAAGAAAGACATTGCCGATAACCGGGCCATTGGAGCGCATGGCGCCAATGCGATTCTCCAGCGTGTGACGGAGGCGGGAGGCTCCTCGGCGGGATCCGCGGGCTCCGTCCGAGTGCTCACCCACTGCAACACGGGTTCCTTGGCCACCGCAGGATTCGGCACGGCGCTGGGCGTGGTGCGCCAACTGGGCGAACTGGGAAAGCTAGGTATGATCTCTAAAAAGTTTTGCACGATATAGGTTTTACACTTCCATTTTAGGCCCTACTCTTTTTTTTCAAAGAGCTTTTGATAAAAGTAGGCACAAGCCTTTGAGTAAACAACTTAACAACTTGTTAAATAATTGTTTCTTATGTCTAGGGCAATTTACTTTAACACACAATCAAAAACTGAACAAATTCAGGATTTTAAACCAATTGAATTGATAATTCCGGTTATAAAAACTATTAAACTGACTACAAATGATACGTTTCCTGATCCTAGAGCACGTATACTGCACAGAGACCCGACCTTATAACCAGGGAGCACGCCTCACAGCCTACGAACTGGTTCATGAGAAATTCCCAGCCACCTTGGTTTTGGATAGCATGGTGGCTGCTCTGCTGCGGGCTAAAAATGTGGCTGCCGTGGTGGTGGGAGCAGATCGGGTAAGCATAAGAACTCTTAAAATAGGATGGTGGTCAATTGGTCATTAACATTTTGGTATCCCAGTCTCGTGCAAACAATGCCACTCAAAATTGCAAACAATTTTTCATTCAGTTTCACAATTCGCTAAGCAAACAATACGTTTGTGGAATTTATTGTATTATTGTGTCTTAATTTAATTATCAAATCTATTATGATAATGCATTTCCTTTGAATTAATTATTCTACATTTTAAAAGACATGATCTTGAGGAAATGGTTTCTAAACAAATTATTGTGTCTAAATTTTATATTTTTATATTGTGTTTTAGAATCTGTAAACTCTTTTAATCAACTTTACCTTTAGAAAGACACAATATTGAAATAATGTTTGCTAAACCAATTTGTACAGACTTTTGATATATTTTCCCTTCTAATATACTTAGAAAACACTATAAAACCATCCCATTTTAAAGATTTCTTGATACTTTGACTAATTGGATATATTTTGCATAAGGTTGCCGCCAATGGCGACACGGCGAACAAGATTGGCACCTACCAGATCGCCGTAGTGGCCAAGCACCACGACGTGCCATTCTACGTGGCCGCCCCGCTGACCTCCATTGACTTGGCGATTCCCAGTGGCGATCACATCATCATCGAGGAGCGGCCCGACCGCGAAATGACTCACGTGGGTGAGCACCGCATTGCTGCGCCGGGCATCAACTGCTGGAATCCCGCCTTCGATGTCACCCCCGCCTCGCTGATCACCGGCATCATCACGGAACGCGGCGTTTTCAAGCCGGCGGAACTGAAAGCGGCCATCACCAAGCTGCTCGAGTCATAACAGGCGCACAGAAAATGTTGTTTACGAATGCACTCCATTCCCCAAAAAAAAAACCACAAATCGAAACCACAAAAAACAAGAGCACTCACCACACGAGCTCGGAATAGGCATTTTGCCAGCTGAGTTTTGTATACAAAAAACGTGTTCCCGCCTAGCAAGCAAATATGGGTCGCCGATCCGCTGGGGAGCACAACGCACAATATACCTCCTACATATGTAGCCCCATTCGCCAGTTGTTACCCTAATAGGGCATTGTTTTCGCATACTTTAAAGTCGCTTGGTTGTGGGCAGGCTCCACCAGAAAGTGCTCGAGGAGCAATGGCATCGTTAGCCGGGATTTTGCTACTGCTACTGGGCTTCGACCAAAGCTGGGCCAATAGAGGGTTGAATGTGGAGAACAACTACAGGAACATGATGGTGCGTCTGGCCACCAGCAAGGTCACTCTCCGCAATCTCCAAGTCCTTCGCGAAGGACGCGTGGAGGTGAGCTTTGACTTTGGCGCCACGTGGGGCACCATTTGCAGCACTTCGTGGAGCATGCGGGAGGCGAATGTGGTGTGCAGGCAGCTAGGATTGGGTTATGCGTCCAAGGCCAGCCAGGGAACGGAGCACGGTAACAGCCGAAAGCACCCGTGGGCCATGGTGGGCACTCTATGCCGGGGCACCGAGCGGCGACTGGCCGAGTGCGTAAGGGAATCGCGTTACCCCAACCTCTGCAACGCCAGGAATCAAAATGTCAGCATGGTGGCCTGCGTGAGCCATTCGGCTGACCTGGAGATCGGACTGGTGGACATCGAGAGGACAGCCCGTCTGCAGGCAGTGCCCATGTCGCGGCTCACCTGCGCCATGGAGGAGCACTGTGTGTCCGCCGACGCATATGAGATCAGGAGAACCAATCCGCATGCTGCCCGGATTCTGCTGCGCTTCTCCGTGAAGGCCTCCAATGTCGGCACGGCGGATGTGAGTCCGTATGCCAACTACAAGGACTGGGTGTGGCACCAGTGCCACCGGCATTACCACAGCATGAACGTGTTCGCCACCTTCGATGTCTACGACCTGAAGTACAGAAAGGTGGCCCAGGGACACAAGGCCTCTTTCTGTCTCATGGACACGGATTGCCGACCGGGGGTGCGTGCGAAGTATACCTGCGGGAACACCACCCAGGGTAAGTTTAAAGCAGCTTATTCGAGGTGCAGGGCATAACCCAATCCAATCTGCTTTAAGGCATATCTGTGGGCTGCGCAGATACCTACACGGATGTATTGGACTGCCAGTGGGTGGATGTGACCCGGGTGCCGGTCAACCAACGCTATATTCTGCGAGTAGCTCTAAATCCCGAGTACAAACTGGGGGAGATGTCCTTCGAGAACAACGGAGCCGAGTGCCTCCTCGATTACACGGGCGTCCACCAAACGACCAGGATTTTCAATTGTCGACGCAAGCCATTGTGGTTTAAAATATGATTTTGCTTTTAAAAGATTTATTTTAAGATAGCTATAGTGGGTGTGGTGACTATAATATAAAGCAGCCAAACTTTATAAAATAAAAAAAAATGTTTGGTTTTTTAATGGTAATTTATACGGTCGTAGAGTACTTTTCGGCCTAAGGTTTTGTAGCATCCCTCTTTTTAAATGTGTTGCAAGCTTTTAGGCTGTTTTGAGACCTGCTGGGTTATGTGTACCCCACGAAATGCAGGATATCTCGGCCAATATGTGACCCACAAATAAAGCAATGACCGTTTCGGATCGCATATTGGCCGAGATAACCTGTAAAAACATTTACAAGAACATTACTCCGAGAAGTCTCAAAGTGGAGCCATAGCGAAAAGAATGAATGTTTTCCACGACGTTGGACCTAAGCTAATGATCCCCAACAGTTTTTGACTGATCCCGATCAATTAATTTTTACTCCGAAAATTAATTTTTATTTATAAAATAATTCAATTTTTAGCTGGAAAAAAAGTTTCAGGTTTGAATGCCAATCAAAAGGGAAATCTTTTTACGAGTGCAACAAGGTATGACATTCCAGACTAAGGCCACGTTAACCGTGCGTTTTTGCCAAAAGAATGTGAGACTGCTGGCTGTTCCAACTGCGCAGCAACCTACTGAAATTTCTATTCGCCTGGTGTTTGAGCTCGAGAAATCTTCCAAACTGACCGACAAAATCAACTCGAACCAAAAAAGCCGAACTTTACGCGTTTCAAAACAAATTTTCCTGTTTCTGACACCAGGCCAACAGAATTCCCAGTAGGTTGCTGCAGGGCTCTAATAATTTATTTCGTGGAGCCCTACAATTGGTCAACCAATAGACATACACCTTCCCGATTGCTCAAAACAACCGTTATTTTTTTTCCAGTACACAGAGGCGTAGTCAGCAAAAGCAGAGTTTTGGGGGCCAAACGACCCCAATTACCGATCTTAATCCCCCTTGACGAAATTCTGACTACGCCCCTGCTAAACGCAGAAAACATAGTGCTACGATTTATGTTCGCCTGGGGTTTCAAACCGAGAAATCTAAAATTTTGCCCATCCAACTGGGCCGATCAAACTCAATCTTTCCCAGTCAAACTCAACAAATTTTGATTTTGAAGTACCAGGCCAACAGAAAAATCAGCAAGTACCCAGAATTTGAAGCAAGGGTTAAGCGAACAGCTGTTTTGTTTAATGATGGCTGCCACGAAGCCACTCCCCTGGAAGAAATCCGTTAGTTTTAAACTAAACTCTCACACTAGAGATGGGCAAACCGCTTGTTTCTTTGTTCGTGTCACGAATTTGGCACGAAAAAATTAAGGCATTAAGTATGCGTAGTTTAAAATAATCAGCTGATCGTTTTACAGCTGCTAAGCCTTTCTGATCGTCTGGTGTACGAAATCCAGAAGCCTCTCAAATTGCCTGCACATGAGACCAAAAATATATAAAATAGTTAAATGCTATAAAATAGTTAAATGGTAGTTAAATACGTTTATTGTTTCTGAATGTTCATCTCTTGACTTTGCGTTTGTGTTTTGTATCATTTCGCTTACAGATTAGATTTATATATGTATTTATATCTGGTATTTACGATGCATTATAAATATGCCTTTAATTGCTAAAGATAAATATTTCGGCGCTTGCTCAGTTTGGTTTATCGTAGTTTAGGTAATAAATTGGATTTCGGGGCTTATGGCGTTTGTCTGCGGGTTGGTTGTGCTGGTAGTAGTTGTTCAATCTATGCCTTACAATTTACTAGTTGTGCCTAAATTAAGTGAATTCAACTAAGACTTGCAGATGGCACTTTTGCAACTGCCAACAAGTTCAATAATCATGATCAATTTTCCATATTAACATAATAAATTCTCCAATTGGTTTTCTTTTGTTTTCGTGTTTCTTTCTTTTCTGGTAGCTAATTACAAAATGCCTACGCTACGTTTACACATCGATATCTCAAATGAATTATTTAGCATAATTCTCTGTTCATTTTTATTGCATGACGAAACCAACAAAAGTAATAACGAGAACGTTCCCCCATGGGAACCTTCGGGCCAGCTTAAACTTAGGCAACAGAAAAGAGTCAAAGAACAATATGAAAAGCTTAGCAAAAGTGTGCGGCAATAAAACTTAGGAGTCGTATTTAAATAATTATTGGTTTTAAAATGTACAATCTGTTTAGGTTGTACGCTTGTGTTTACGAATATACAATATAGTAGCATGTAGTAAGTATTTGTTAAAAATGCATTCAAGTTTTCGAGTATTCATGTCATTTTCTTAACTTTCAAATGCTAACTAGAACATCTCTACCTTCCAACGCTATCGTCCTGTTGAGCACAAACTACTTTACAAAAATTACACATTATTCTGTACTTCCGCCTATTCCTAGTCTACGTAGTGCTGCTGATGCTGTTGTCCTGCTCCTGGTGTTGCATGTTATAGATGATGATCAATTAGATAGAGCTCGCATTTAAGTAACATTAGTTTTGGGTGCTGTGACAAACTGACGGCCATAGCTCTCAAAGTCGTATAGTGAGTGGTATTCATGCTACCACGTTTTCCATTAATTAACGCTCTAGTGTGTGCTTAATGTTTGTGTGTTTGTTTCGGTGTGGAGTCTTTTGGAAACATTTATAAATATTTGTTATGTGTGTGTGTTTGTGGCGAAATCAGCTTGCAAGTTTTCATTAGAAAATGTTAAGTAAAAAATACAATTTCAAAAGTGCTATTTGCGCTTCAACTGAGGAAGAAACCGCTACCGGTTTTGGTTTTAATTAGGGTCTGCTTCTGCTTCTGCTTCCGCTGAATACCCGCAATCCGGGGTGACTGTGCGCAATTTGTGCTATGTGTCGGCGTCCAGATCAGGCGTCCGCTTAGAGGCTTCCTCGACCAATCTATGCTATCAGCTCTCGACCGTCGTGGAGGACACGCTGTGACTAGTGGTTAACAGATGCTCGGGAATGGGTATGGGCTGTGTGCGGGCCGGCTGCTTCTTCTGCAAGGGAAATACAGTCATTAAATTAAACCAATTAAAGAGTATAAAGTAGACTAACCTTCCGACGGAAGGGGAAACATCCCGCCTTGTCCGGTTCGGGCGTTGCATTGATCTGCAAGTCTGGCGTGGGGCACTCCTCGGGACCGAAGACATTCAGCTCACGAAAGCACTCGGTCTCCATCATCTCGCTCTGCCAGGAAATGGACACGGAGCCCGTGTTGAATTTCGTGTAGAAATTTGTATCGGACTCGTCGATATTGACGCCCTTCACCGTAGAAAACTGTTCGATATCGAGCACATCTTTGGCGTAAACGGCGTGTGGCTGTGGATGATGGAAAAGCGATTAAAGTCGACGTTACGTTACAAACGGGCATAAGCATTTCCAATATCGCAACGGCGCAGCGCGTATGCAAATGAGTCAACTCACGTCTGGCACAAAGGGCGGCTCCAGCATGCCAGCCTCGAGGCGTCGCCAGTTGAGCTGGGTGGAGTGGAAAAACGGGTGGGCCATCACATCCTGTCCGCCCATGCGTCCGTTGCGGCAGCCTAGGCGCTGCTTTATCGATTTAGCTAACAGCTGTTGGCACATTGATTTGGCTTCATCATTAAACTTGCTCGAATACTTTTCGGGATCCTCCTGTAAAGGCAAAGAACGGTATAAGTTTAAGCCAATTAATTTACAGTTCCGGTCAAAATAATAGTAATTTATTAGCTTGTGGATATAGAAACCAAAAAAAATTCGGAAGCAAGCTATAGCAAATGTCTAAAATCCACATTTATCATAGGTATAATATTTTAAAATATTTTTAAAAAAGAAAAAATGAAAAAAATGTTATTAAATTTTAACTTAATAAATTAATAAGATAAATATTTTTGTTCCAATCTAGTTATAAAATTGATTACAGTATGAAATTTAAGAAATTATAAACAGTTTACATTTTCTGTGAAAAGCTAAAACCATAAATGTTTTTATAGACTTCAGTTTGTTAATTGATTAGTTTAGCAATATGCTAAATGGACACTATATTGTCATAGCCAACCTTAACGCGCCTGTCCACTTCCTCTCGCTTGACCTTCTCCTTGCGCATCCGGAATGGCGCCTGTCCCTCGATCATCTCGTATAGCAGGCAGCCGAAACTAAACCAGTCCGGTGAGAAGGCGTATTTCTCGTTGTCGATGACCTCGGGGGCCATATATCCTGGTTACAAAGAAGAGCAAGTAAGGCAGCTTAGCTAGGAACATTCAAAGCAATCGGCTTAGCCACTAGGCTACTTACCCACTGTGCCCACCCGGCCGCGCACCATCTCGCCCTCCGGTATCTCAACGGCAAGTCCCAGGTCGGAAATGCGTACGTGGCCATGATCGTCCAAGAGGATGTTTTCCGGCTTGCAGTCCCGGTAGACAATGCCCTGCTTGTGCAGATGCTGCAGTCCGCAGGCAACTTCGGCCGCATAAAAGCGGGCACGCTCCAATTCGAATCCCGGGTCGCCGCCCATGTTGTAAATGTGAAATTTCAAATCGCCGCCTGCAAAAGGAAAAAACTTTTGATTGTCTTCCTCAACAAACAATGAAGACAGGTCCACAGAGCTCTGGCTTTTGTGTTCAAATTCAATTAGGTCGTGGATTGACAGACAGTCAAGTCAGCTGACTGGATGAATCCGGCATTGTGCCGGCAGCCCGAATGCCAGGAATTTAATTAAAATTGCAAACTCAATCATCGCTGGGATTACACATGCATTTGTTATCGTTTTAATGAATGCATGCAAATGCCGGACTCTCGGATAATTGGCAGCGAAGGACGACACAGGACATATGGAATGGGAAAACTAACAGGGTTAACCGATAAAGAGTCCGAGTTCTTAATTAACCCTAACTAGCAATCTCTCCATCGACAGCTGTAGTGGCCCACAGTGAGTCACATCACAACAGGATAATACCCACCATTCATTATGGTCAGCACCAGGCAGAGGGCATCCTTTGTCTCGTACGCGTAGGCCAGATTGACCACGAACGGCGAGTTGATTTTCTGCAGAATCTGCTTCTCGATTAACACCATCGATTCGCCTTTGCGCTTCTTGATGCGTTTTTTCTCCAGCTTTTTGCACGCGTACATTTTCCCAGTGGCCCTTACCTGGGAAACGGAGGGTGAAGAAAAAGGGAAAAGGGAAAGAGAGTGTGAAAACGAGGTATTTTGGCCACAGGTGACGATTATCCTGACTCACCTGACAGGCGCACACTTCGCCGAAGCCGCCCTTGCCTAGCACGCGGTACATGCGAAACGTTTTATAGGTGATTGGTTGCGCCTCCAGCCACTTCCACTGCAAGTAACTGGTTGGGAAAAGGAAACAAGAAGAAGCATTAAAAACATTTTTTGCTATTTATATTTATACCCTCGCAGAGAGATTGTTATTGATCAGCAGCAGGATGCATTTTCGAGCTAAGTTTAAGAGCAAGAGAATTGATCCTAGCTTTTATGTTAATAAATTTGCATACTTTTCGCTGTTTCCGATTTATATAATGTTTTTATTATCGAACTAACACTTCGTGGTTTATGTCTGCCTAACTGGTCGTATGTCTGCAAGGGTATACAAACTTTGAATAACCTAAATTAACTTTCTTTCTAGTTCTCATAAAAAAAGTGGGCAATTTATATGATGTATTAATAATAATAAATTTATATGTTATATCAAGCTTTTACATTTGTTATATCTAGTGTTTGGCTTGAAACATGGGAAGAATCACTAACAAGCACTGGTTTCTGTTGTCCTGACTTAAATCCTGTATTGACTTACAGTACTCAAAGTAACTTTTACTTTGAGTAGCTAAGAAGCAGGTTTTTTCTCTTTTTTATTGAGTCTAGAAACTTACCGGTGAAAATACATTGAACTCTCAAACTCCCGGAACGGCTCGCCGGCCAGGAACGCCTTTACCGCATTCACGCACTGGGCAAAGATGTCCTTGCCGCCGCTGTTGAGTTTGTTACGCACTTGCGCAATGAGATCATCGTTGAGTACGTCCAGCACAAGTTCGTCGGGACATCCCCCTACGTGGTGGGCAATCTTTTCACCAACACCTTCTCCTCCGTCACCCCCCTTTTCCGCGTCATCATGGCTATCCAGGCACTCGACGCCCTCGTCTCCGTCATCCTGATCCTGGTGGCTTTCGTTCCCAGTGGCATCGTCGCCGTTGTGATTGCGCGTGTCGAGCTTCTTGTGATTAATGTCGCTGCTGTTGTTGCTGTTGTTGATGTTGTTGCAGTTGTTGGCGGTGGTATTGTTGCAGTGTTCAGTCTCAGCTGTTTCAGTTGGATTGGGATTGGCATTGCTGTTGTTCAGCAGCAGCTCCTCCTGCGTCTCGGCGTCCAGGGCGTCGCCACCGCTGCCGTTTCGCAGCTCCAGCTGCGCCTCGACATCCAAAAAGCGACGCCCGATGTCATGGCCAATGAATATGCGGTTCGAAATATACTCGATTTCGTATCTGTGCAAAGATGGAGTGTTAACCTCTACTATGGCCTCTGATAATTTATTCCAACACTTACTTGACCACCTCATCCAGGAAGGTGATGTAGCGAAAGTAGACGGGCCGCTTGTTCTCGCAAAACAGGCGGAAGAGCTCACGACCAATGGGTTGCTGATCTATCACGTAGCCATAGCTTATGTCTGTCCATACAGAATACAGAATACAGGGAAAATAATAAATAAAAGTTTAGGCTAAAGCACAACCAAAACTCTCACCTAATTTGTCTTTCAGGTTGATGCATTGCGATATGTGTGGGAATTGCAATATTTTTCGCCATTTTTTGCTCTTTCCCTTGTTGCTGTCGGAACCACCTGAAAAGCAAAGAACAGAATTTAGTTAAGACAAGTTATCAATCATTTATAATAACAAACATCTAGTAGTTCAACCGGAAGTCGCAATAATCAATTGTCATTCTATGAATAGCACTTCTAATTCACCTTTCCGGAGCAAACATTCTCTGATTTCACTGGCACTTGAGTGCAAAGGTAAAGTGAGCATTTCCTTGTTCAAAAGAGGTCGTGGACGTGATTGCATTGATTGCTACTAGGCAACCCCATTCCCATTCCCATTCCCATCGACAAGCTGTCTGGTTTAACGTTATGCCGGCAATTCTGTTTTATTTGCACTAGCAACGAGCCATAAAAACAATATTTCCAATGCGAAATGCATAAAATGCATTCACATAAACAATACAAATAAACTGCATAGTTGAGCTGTTGCTCTCGTCTTTTGATTCCTGACTCGTGACTCTTGGAACGGCTATTGGCACGGAGTGAATGAGTTTATGTGGTCATATTGAGGTGACAGAGCTATGCAGCATCTTGGGGGCTTAAGCTCCCATTCCGTCTTTAAATCGAATTCTATCGGTTTGGCCCGTATCGTTTTTTTGCACAAGGGGCCAAACACAAAGCTCATCACCCCGAATAAATCACTATATCAACCATTCTCTGTGAATTTCTCTCAGTGCCAGCCCAGCCATAAAATCTAACAAGAAAACTAAATGGATGGTCAGGGATCGGGGTAAGAAAGAAACTCAGTGAGAGGGCATAAATGTCAGAAGCAGTCAAAATCAAGCGCAAAACGTAAGCGAGTTCGCAACAATGTTCTAGCGAAAGCGGGTGAAACAGCAACAAGGGCAGTCAAGGAAAATGGGTTAATATGCCCATCGGTTTGCCTCACACACCTACAGTCGTGGTTAAGATAAAAGTGACAATACATGATTATTTTACAATTTAATAAAACATATTTTCTGATTTTTTTGTTGTAAAAAACCTATTTGGCAAATTGATTCAAGAAACTACTTTTACTATGATTTTTCACCGATGGATTTTTCTCTTTTTAACATTAAGTAGTTATTCAATACTATAGTATCACCCGTTGATGCACATTTGACACCCTCAAAAGTATGCAACATATTACTTAAAGGAGTAGACTGTACTGCCATTCCCTTCAAAGTAGGAGTGTTTATGGCGTAAATCCAACCTTGTAATTTTTATTTTGCCGAGCAGACTTTGTATTTGTTGCTGCAAATACACACAAGCTTGCACATTCACATTCGTTTGGGGCTTTGAACGCCGAATGCGAGTTCATATACATTGCCTTGTCTGGCCACAGAGCATTAGCCACTTATTTATGTTGCCAACAGCAGTCTGCTGCCAAAAGTTGAGCCCGGCTTAAAGTTCCTGGCGAAGAAGCTGCTTGCCGTGCGTGAGCATTTAATTTGGTCTCTGTGCAATTATGCAAAAATACACTCAAAAACTTTGAAGGGCAGCAGCGCAGGCAACAGCAGTCGTAATTTCAATGAAGGAGCCACCTGAAGGAAGGAGGTTGCTCCCCGCTTAGTCAAATAAAATTACCAGCGAAAAGTTTAGGAAAAGGGAAAAGTTAACCCTAAGGCAGGACTGCTGAGTGGTGGTAGTGTGGCTTTGGTGGCTATGAAACGTTCAAGTTAGCCCAAGTAACAATTAGCTGACAGACCCGTGCACTTAAGCAAATATGAAATGTGTGGGCCAACAAATGACAGCTTGGGATTATGGGATTATAACGTCAAACCTTCGATATATTCAGTTTATTAATTTCAAAGATATATTGAGGGGAGAGAGTATAAAGTGACTATAGGAATATAAATGCTATTAGTAAAAAGTTTACATCATTAGTGATTCTTGGAAAGGGAACTTACTTTCTTGAGCTGGGAATATCTCCAAGACTTCCACTTGCCACTTTTGACCATAACCACCTAGAGGTCGAAAAAGTTTGTCTAAAATTTTTGTAATTATTTGGCAACAGAAACAAAGCCGCATTTCAATGAATTACGAAACTTACGGGCGGACGAGCGAAAAGTCAAGAAAACATTTTCAAACACATAAATCCTATCATGTGGATGTGTAAAAGAAAAACAAAAGTAATGGAAAGTGGAATGGGCAGGACGAGCGAAGGAAAAGTTGTATAAAAACTTATTAATGAAGCCATCGCAAAGCTAATTTGCGGTTGATGGCTTTTCCAATTAAAACCAATCAATAAGAAAAATAGCGTCCCCATCTTGGGATACAACCACAAACCCTTTGCAGCAAGTCAAGCGGTTACAAATGCAATTTGTCAGCCGAAGCGACTGACAACTGCAATGGCCGCAATGTTGCCGGCTAATTGAGTCCCCCAGACGCAAAAGCTCAAGATGAGGATAAGGACTCATCACTGGCGATTGCGACGAGAGGACATAGGAGTCGCCCTTTTATTTACGACTCAACAAGTTGACACTAGATTACGAAGCAGGGACATCTTGGAGTCCGGGGGAACATAGTACGATATATACAAAAATTACAATTTACATTAAACGTTCTCTGATTTATCGATTCGCATTCAAAGTTTTTGGTCGAAAACTTTTATGGACCTCGCTCCATCGTTATGATCAATTCTTGTCGCTGGACGCCAAAAAGTATGTGACACAATTTATAAGTGTCAAGTTGTCTCCTTCTGTCGCCTTAGTGTAATTTGATGTCATTTTTCACTGGCCAAGGAAAAACCAAGAGGCGGCCACCAACTGTTAACTGCAATTATTTATGGTCCGCCCTCTATTTGGCCCACTGGAGAGCCTTGGACCAAGGTTAAGTGCGTGCTAATAAGCTCACGGCCACGACCCTCAGGGAGCCATATCGCAAAAGGCTTTCGATTGATAGGGGAAATCTTTTCTGAGGCGGTGAGGTCGCGCTGAAACCTAAGCTACAGCTGCTGCCAAGGGAATCAGAAAGGCGGGTGTTGGAAATAATTAAAGCTCATTAACTGAGCTGAGGATATATGCTTTTAAGACACCCAACAAAATAATGCAGTATGCCACTTTAGTTGAATATATATACCAAACGCAATTCGAATTATAATTGTAATTATTAATGATCGGTTTAAGTGTTAGTTTACATCATAGTGGTGTCAAACAAATTCGCATTATTTGTTTACACAAAAGAAATAAATTATATTCGTACATCTATAAATCATTAGGTAACAGCAGAAATTAACTTAACATTGAGAGGTACTAATTTTCTAAGAAAATTAATAAAATATGTTATATTTCAAGGTTGAATAGCAGCATTGGGTAACAAAAGAAAATAAACATAGCATTGAGACTTACTAATTTTCTAAGAAAATGAATTGAACGGCCAAAAATGTTCTAAAATAGATTGATGTTAGAGATAACTCTTACTCATGTTCACAACATTACCAGCCACTTGATGAAACTCGAACAAGCTGATGAATGGATAATCTTGCTGTTCAACCCCACTTAACCTCTCATTTGTCTCCTTTTTTGCGCTGTATGCATTTTGATTGTTTCAAGTTCAGCGTCACACTGTGATTACAAAGGCAGCGACCCACCGACAAACCAAAATACATGTATTAAAAGCAGCGTCGAAAATGTTCAACAGCAGTTTTTACACATCCCGCTAATGCAAAACAAACAGACGACAGTAGAAATAACAACGTCAAACGAATCGTGAAGCGTTATGCCGCCGATTTACCTACAGCGAAGCGCACATTAAATTAATTATTACTGTTAAAAAACCATAAAAATACAAAATAACAATAAAAAGCCGTAAAAGTTACGCCGTCGGCAATCGAAAAAGTTGATTGGCAGTCGTCGCATAACGTCGATGGGTGGGTGTTTGAGTGGTCGGGTGGTTTGGATTTTCAGTGAGTGGGTGGCCGTTCGGCAGGTGGATGGAGCCGAAAAAGTGAGGGAAATAAAAGCAGACGTTGTCCACATGGAATGCATGTAAATGGGTCTTTGATTGGCAAAGCCTTTAAATTACGGGTAGCACACAGGAGCGTTGAATGCGATATGTAGTGCCCACCCCACATCAAGGTCGAAGTCCAGTCAAATGCGTGATAAAATAATTTCACAAGCTGTACAGTGTACAATGTACACACATGTATAAAAATCGATATTTGACAAAAAAAATACAAAACAAAATCCCGAGCAATTAATGGACAGTTTGGCTATTAAGTGGAATTTATTATAGCAATAGATGAAAACAAAACCAGAAATGTCCCTTAAAAGAGTGGAAGAGCCATCAGGATGCTAAGTTAATTAACTCTTATCCAGTATAAGTGTTTCTAATAAAATACGACCCAAACAGAGATCATAAAAACATATAAAACACATTATAAATAAAAAAAAATATTGCAATCAAAATGTTCTTTTTTAAAAAATCTCTGGGTCATTCTCCCTGTGTATTTTTTTGTTACGGACACAAGTATCGGCAATCACTTGAACTGATGTGCTTGTAGATGAAAAGTTGAAACACCCATCGATAAACTCAAATATTTTTATTAAAATTCCATGCACACGCGATTTAAAACGAAAAGTGTGGCTATATAAATCGCATCATCGAAATGGTCTCAAAATCATCTGGAGTTCCTCCTCAAGTGGCCAACAAACATTTGGCGAAGGAGATAAAATTAATTACTCTTTTTTCGGTGCCTTTTAGATTGCTGGACAAGAGTTAAATTAGACTGGCATGGCCATAAAACAACGCGGAGTCATTATCAAATATTTTAGTGTCCATCATTATTAATTTGTTTTATTTCATTTTCATTTCAGAGTAGTCCTTGGCCATTAACTGGAAACCTCGGACACTAATTTTGCTGCTTCGTTTGCTTTGTCTTTCAGTCGTTCCGTCGTTCAAGCTTCATTTGCTCTCGGCAGACGCAGAATTGGCGCCTTTTGTGGCCGTTTTTAATGGCTTCGTCCGAGGGGCAGAAAACAGTTAACTTGAGGGCAAACTATAAAGAAAAGTTGATTCATTGGCGCCGTCATTAAAAACCT